TATGTATGGTCTGAACTTACAAGTATAGGTAGGAGTTCATCCAGGTCGCCATGTATGGTCTGTACTTACAAGTATAGGTAGTGGTTCATCCAGGTAGTCATGTATGGTCCTTACTTACAAGTATAGGTAAGAGATCATCCAGGTAGTCATGTATGGTCCGTACTTACAAGTATAGGTAGGAGTTCTTTCAGGAGAATGGGTAGGAGTTCATTCAGGTAGCCTTACATAGTTCAAACTTACAAGTATAGAAAGAAGTTCTTCCAGGTAGCCCTGAATGGTCTGTTGATCCTTGTGTAGAGCCCAGCTCCTCTGCTGCGAGTCATCTTTACAGGCCACTAACTCTGTGAACAGGTGCTGGAGGCGGGTGGAGTCATGACCAGACTCTTCATCAGACATGTCACTGTTCTGAAGTAAACAACCATAACAATGTTGCCATCCGACACTTTACTCTCCTGGCTTACATGATTAATCACAATCATCTAACTGGGCTGTGTTGGTTTAAATACAAGACAGAGTATAACGATTCATGGACCTACCTCTGAGATAACCAATTTGTTAACAAAAATTCATAACACAGTAAATAGTGGGACACATAACCCTGTGGCAGATTTTAATTGTACATAGGAATACGGTCGCCTTCTAGCTTCAAGCTAGAGGGAATTTCCCTTTAGCTCAGTGGTAAAGCGTCCGACTAGGAACCTGGAGATCCAGGGTTCGATCTCTGGTGGAAGCACACTATTCTCTTTCCTGTTACAAATGGTGTCCGTGGCCCTCCCTGTGGTGACAGGGAGTTAGAACCTGGGTTGTGGTGTTCAAGGACGAACACATTTAAAAAGGGGGGAGTAGTGTGGTAGATTTAAATTGTACATAGGATTAAGGTAGCCTTCTAGCTTCGAGCTACAGGGAAGTTCATCTCAGTGGTAGAGCGTCCAACTAGGAACCTGGAGATCAAGGGTTCGATCCCTGGTGGAAGATATATATTCCCTTCCTTTTACAACCCTATTTCAGAAAAGGACATTCTATCACACCATACAAAATCGGCAATTGCAGTAAGGGACATATTATATCAAATAGACACACACAGTGAAGAAAGGGACATAATTCTGCTGCAGTAAGTGACATATTATATTAAAAAGGCACACAATGTGAAGAAAGGGACATAATTCTGCTGCAGTAAATGACATATTATATCAAATAGACACACACAGTGAAGAAAGGGACATAACTCTGCTGCAGTAAGCGACATATTACATCAAATAGACACACACAGTGAAGACAGAGACATAATTCTGCTGCAGTAATTGACATATTATATCAAATAGACACACACAGTGAAGAAAGGGACATAATTCTGCTGCAGTAAGTGACATATTATATTAAAAGGCAAGCACAGTGAACAAAGGGACATAATTCTGCTGCAGTAATTGACATATTATATCAAATAGACACACACAGTGAAGAAAGGGACATAATTCTGCTGCAGTAAGTGACATATTATATTAAAAATGCAAGCACAGTGAAGAAAGGGACATAATTCTGCTGCAGTAAGTGACATATTACATCAAATAAACACACGCAATGTGAACAAAGGGACATAATTCTGCTAAAATATGTCAGATCAGACTCACTTATAAACAGCTGCAAGAACCATATAGCTCAAATGCTGGATCCATGTTTTTCTTCTTCAAATTTTAGATTTGGTCCAACACTTTATTATAAAAAAGAAATGATCAGACCTTCATTCCTGCAGCTAACTACTGCACTACAAACTCACCTCGGTGAAAGTGAAGAGGACCTTTTCCATGAGTAAGGCCACTTGAGGAATCATACTGCCCACATGACTTAGCACCACTTCCACAGCCAGACATGACTTATCGTAACTGAGCCCTGTATGGCGCCTCACCTCCTCTGCTAGCCCTGCCCCAAGATGGGAAGGGATTGGCACACTAGACACATTGATGACAGAAGGGGAATCAAACTGTCGACTTGGACTGTTTGGGAAAGATCTTTGACTTTTGCCTGGTGAAAGCACATGTCTGCTTGGTGAGGAGGGAGAAGTGTCCACAGTCAAACAGCTTATACTAGTGGTCTGACTGCCCTGTATCGATGCCACACCTGCCTCACCACCATCTATATTATCACTGGTGCCCTGCTCTGCAACTGACCCCGAGCTCAGGGTTCCCTCTTGTGACCCTTCAGGAATATAAGAACTGACATCAGATGTTGTGCTTTCTCCTGGTTGGGCTCCTGTATTTGTAATTTCACCTGGCTGGGCTCCTGTAGTTGAGATTTCCTCTAGATGGGCTCCTGTAGTTGTAATTTCCCCTAGCTGAGCCCCTGTAGTTGAGATTTCCCCTGGCTGGGCCCCTGTAGGTGTGATTCCAGTGACAGAGAGGTGTGGTGGAGAGGGCGCCTTCCTTCGTACTGAAGATCTTTTGTCTGTACCTGGTGGTTTAAGTATACAAGATATAGCATTTACTTTTAACCACATCATGACTCGAATCTTAATGTGTATCAAGATATCTTTTTTTACACTGAACTGGCAAAAGGCATTGTGTCAAAATTGTGCAAAGTTGATATTGCTGTATTAAAACAGAATTCATTACATAATTTCACTATGTAAAACAATAAAACAAAAAATCTGCTTTGTGTACTTGAAGTGGGAGAGGAAGGGTCTGATCTATCGCCATTGGACTGGAAGCTCTTTTGAGATGATGTTCGACTTGACTTGTTCTGGCTAGGCACTTGACTTGTGCCTGCAGGCGTCTCACTGTTCTTCTGCCTGGAGTTCTGTGTTATCTGAATTGCTGATGTTGATCTCTGGTTGTATTCCTCTACTACAACTTGTCTATGCTGAGTTAACTTTCTGAAAACAAAAGCAAACAACTGCTTTGAAAATATATTTTTTGTGTAACTTTCCTACTCTTTTATCCCATTTGCATTGCCTATTACACTTTAAAATTGTCTGGCTGATTTTGCTAGACAGTAATTGCAGTAGGTCAACTACAGCACTCAATTTGGACATTTAGTTGGTAAATGGCTTACAGGTGGTCTATACCAATCAGAGAAACTGTTTCTTATCATTATATATATATTACAACCAATTTCAGGTGTTTGAAAATGATGGAAGGTCAGTAGATAATTTTAGGAGGTTTTCAAATTCACTGAAGGCCAGAAGATATAGTCTTAGTATCAAAATTATTGTTTGCTCTACATATACTGGTACCTAAAAGTAGAAAATATTAAGTGCATGTAATTTTAATCCCAGTGCCTATTGTGCAGAGAAAAAGTCTATGTCAAAACAACTCTTCCTTAATCTATATTCTATGATAGTCTTTGTTTCATGATTGAACACTGCAAATGGCTCCTATATACAAACATGACCAACAAAGAGATGATGATAATCAGATCTCAAGGATGAATATAGTACAGCTTTATATAATGGTGGATTGGTTAACATCTGAGGCATTCTTAGCTGGGTACAAATTGAGAGGTCAACACTTACTGGAGGTTCTGTCGGAGTTGTGGCGTATTTGTACACTTGTCTGCACTTGTCTGGTAGTGAATAGCCTGTATTGCTCTATCAATGGATTCTAAGACTTCAGAAAATGCAACCTTGAAATAAAAAATATATCTAATAATTTAAAATATTCATCCACTGCTTTAATGCAGTAATTATAAGATCAAGTGAGTTTTCAAGTCGTTCATTCAGGTTTGAATATTTTAACCTTACCATATGCACCTGTTATAGAAAATGGAGGACATCAAAAAGTTTTAACGTTTGGTTGTGACTCAAAAACTGAGAACAAACATAAATAAAAGAAGAAAGGCATATTTACGGATGACCAACTTAAATAGATTGAAGATTATGTCTTGTGCGTTGTGTCATAATTAGGCAATAGTTTCATGACTGTAATATTAATTTGCATCTTTGGAAGATTACGGTATTATAATAATAATAATATACAACATTTATATAGCGCCCTATATAATTTGTAAAATTACTCCAAGGCGCTTTACAACAGATGGATAATAGTAATGGTTATAATTGTGAAAACAAACAACAAAAGCTTGCAATCACTTTCATACATTTAACAAGCAATGTGCACATAATTGAACAAATAAAAGGATGATATTTACATGACGTCTTTGCAAAGATTCTAAAATGCAGACGTGAAGAGGTGAGTTTTTATGTCCCTCTTGAACTTGGCCAGGGTATTTGACTTCCTAATAGCAGATGATAAGCTGTTCCACAACGTAGCCGAAACCCTCCCAAAGCATCTGTTTCTGTAGGTCACAGTACAAGATTTTGGGACACACAACAAAGATTCTGACTCCGACCGCAGTGATCTTGACGGCTGATACAGGGCAACAAGCTCCTGTAGGTACTGAGGAGCTGTTCCATTCAGTGCCTTGTATGTGTATACCAGAATTTTGTACTGCGACCTGTATCGTACAGGTAACCAGTGCAACGAATAAAGCGCAGGTGTGATGTGCTCTCTCTTTCGAGTACGAGTAACTAGCCGTGCTGCAGTGTTCTGAACCCTCTGCAGACGACTAGTTAGTTTGTCAGATATACCACAGAGCAGGGCGTTACCATAATCCAACCGAGAGGTAACAAGTGAATGCACCAAAATCTTGCATGCATCTGCAGTTAGAAACTGCCGAATACAGCCGATGTTCCTGATCTGGTAGTAACAGGATTTGGCAATAGCGTTCACTTGTTTCTCCATGTTCAGAGAACTGTCAAAGTATACCCCTAGGTTTTTAACAGCTGGAACAGTCTCAATAGTTCTGGCACCAACCTTGAGCTGGAGAGCCATTGTTTGCTGACACTTTGGGGAAAAGACGATTAGTTCCGTCTTTTCCTGATTAAGTTTAAGCATGTTGGCGTTCATCCAGATACTGATATCTGTCAGACAAGCTTCCAGACTTTCTGAGACTGTATTCCAACTGTCCTGTGGTTTTATGACCATGTAAATTTGTGTGTCATCAGCATAGCAATGATAGCGAAGGCTATGGCGACGACAAATCTCTCCAATCGGTTTGGAGTACATACAATATTTTCGTGGTCCTAACACCGACCCTTGAGGAACCCCGAAATCTAGTACTTTGTCATGTGAGGTGGCAGATCCGATGGCAACACACTGTCGTCGTTCACTCAGGTATGACTGTATCCAGCATAGTGCGGTATCAGTCACTCCATAAGAGTATTCCAGACGTTTATAAAGTATGCCATGGTCGATGACGTCAAATGCAGCTGACAAGTCCAGCATGACAAGCACCGCTCTGCACTTGTTATCCAATGCAGAAGCTATATCACTATGTACACGTAGGAGGGCCGTCTCAGTAGAGTGTCCCATGCGGTAGGCCGATTGCATGTTGTCATGGAGACTGTTTGCATGGAGATGAACCTCTAAACGCCGGGACACAACCTTCTCCAAGATCTTAGACAGAAAAGGCAGATTTGAAACTGGGCGGTAGTTTTTCAACTCCTCCTTGTCCATTCCAGGCTTTTTTAACAATGGTCTGACATGTGCCTTCTTGAAACATAATGGAACCTTTGACTCAACCAATGATTTATTCATGATTGCGGTAATCAAAGGAAGCAGTGCTTCAAGACGTTGCTTTAATAGGTCTGTAGGCAGTGGATCAAGCTCACAGGACTTCGATTGCGAGGTCATGATAATGTTGCGCAACTCGTCCTGGATTGATAATTTTCAGAATTGTAATTTGCGTCTTTGATCCTTGATGAATTTAGGCTTAACAAGATCTGGTCCAGCAGCTATGATGCTGTCAAAATTGAGAAGTACAATACCTTGTTACCTGTTAAATGTGAAAATGTTAAAGGGATTTTTTTAGAATTGTTTGTAACAAATTGTATACTTTACATATATGTACTTGTTCAATATACTTTTGGCGGGCATTTTCATTTAAAGTGTAATGAAATCTTTTTTTTTGTGTATAATTTTACCCCACATGTTATCAACACTAATCTTATTTTATAAAAGCAATTTCAACAATAAAATCCTGTTACATTTCACTTATAGGCACTTACAAGATTCTTATAAATACTCTTTTTCCCATGCACAGTTATATAATGAAATTCTCTATCTTTCTCTATTGTCTTTGCCAATACTGTGGATGAATTTTGGTCAGCTGTCTCAGTAAGCACTCTATACACCTTACATACATTCTTTAATTTTAACCCATGATATTAAAAAAAAAGTCTGGTTCTGTGATGAATGTACATATCGTAATCCTACCTTCGCTGATTTAGCATATTATTCAGGTTAGATACGTTGATCTGTTGGCGTTAGTCATTTGTGTTATGTCTCCGTAATTCGAACGCTTAGAAGACAGATAGTTTTCGAGGTACAATCAAAACGTACAGGTGATTATACCTCACTCACCGCTAGGTGTCGCTAGGATAGCAAGAGGGTATAAATAGGCAGAATCCAGCGACAATCGGCCTAGTTCTGTTCTGATCTCGGCGTGTGTACAGCAGCGACAGATCGCAAGTACCTAATATATGCGAGACCGGCTTTGTGTTGGAAAGATAGAAGTGACTGAATAAGTCTTGCCTTGATCCACACACTGCATGGAAGATACATTAAATAAACGATTGAGTGCTGTAGCGAGATACCATTAGACAGAAGGTGTCACGGGCATAGGCTGTGCAGTGCTAGTCGCGACCAGGCTAGTCGTGACTAGGTATAGTCGTTGGTGCTAGTCGTGACTAGGGGTAGTCGCGACCAGGCTAGTCGTGACTAGGTATAGTCGTTAGAGCTAGTCGTGACTAGGGATAGTCGTGGTCATTAGAGAGTGCCGTAGTTGTATACTAGTATAAGGCTGTCGTGATCGGCGCGACTAGGTCATATAGCTAGGTAGCTGACTATAGGGCAACTATAGTGACTAGGGCTAGCCGCGACTAGGTAGTCGAGTTGTGTACTGCCTGGATTGTACGGTAGTGTGTGTAGTGTGTTATATTGATACAAAGCAGATAGCTTTGGTAATAGTTCTATAGTCGTGCAGTAATTATTCTGTTCATATCATGTATTAAGCATTAGGTAATAGGTATGCTGGTTACAAGGTAGTAACACATATTTGTATATATTTGCAACTGTAGTATAGTTATAATTAAGCTTACAGCACAGGGATCCTTAGAAGTGACTAGGGTACGGACCCCGCAACGTTACAGTTCCACCAATTTTAACCAACATATGACATTAACACTCAAATTTTGAAGACTTGTCCAAGGTTATCAAGAAGATTTTTTTTTAGCAATATACCCAAAATAACTGCTAGGGAAAGTATCAAGTATAACTAACAAACATCTGTTTATATATAAACCCTGCAGGTTGGGCGTAAGAATTGTACCTGCTGCCCCCAATTGCATGATCGTAAGAGGCGACTAAATTTGGGACCTTATCTCTTCTCTCCTTTCTAAATAACTTTCCCTTCCTAATGTCTCCCTTGACAATGCCTCACTTTTGGCCATTTGTTGAGCGTTCGCCCATGTGAGGAAGGCTTTGGGTTCTGTCCCCTGGCCGAGACATACCAAAGTCTTTAAAAATGGTAGTTTCTACTCCTGCTTAACGCTCAGCAAATTAGGAGTGGGACGACTGGTTCGCCCGTTGTCAGTATAATGTGACCGGGTGGGGCGTCCTGCTGGGTGTCTTCGGCAGTATGTTTCAGTGAGGTAGCACTATAAAGTCGGCATCAGTTCCGCGCTATCACAAGGAGACAAACACGAACATATCGCAGCCTCCCAAAATACACACACATACACTACACGCATGCATCTTGCACACAGGGGAGGCCATCCTTAAATGACCTTAGCTGTTAATAGGACGTTAAACAAAATCAAACAAACAAACAAAAGTTTATATATATTTGCTTTCCCCTTTGACTGTTTGACCAACTGTCTGAAAGAAGCTGATGTTGATCTTTATCTTGACAGTTTTGAACATCATATCAGAGATAATGAAGCGAATGCGAGTGAATTATACTGTATACCGTATAGATGAAAGCTATAGTGACAGTTGGTGTAGGGAAATAGTATGCAATATATACAACAGCTGTATAACATTTGAAAACTGAACACAATGTACTCAATGACATTTATTTGTTATTATTCAACCATGTGATAACATAATGTCAAAACGCCAGGGTCAAACAGATGTAGCAGTCCGCTAGCGAGAGCCGCTGCAGGATGAATCATTGTGCTGTTCAACATATTAATTATTCAGAACCAGACAAAGACGTCTATTGATTTTTGGAGACCTTACATATTGACAACTTTTATTTTCTCTCAATTTTATATTGTCGTATATTAAGAGTTAAATTTTGGATTTGAGGAAGCATGCTTGAAAGACACATAACATAATTTTCATACTCACATCTTCGTGTGTAATGTAGTTTCTGGGAATGTAACCAACCTCTCCAAATCCGTTCTGTGCAAGAAACCAATCCACATGATTTGAATTGAGAATCGTAAATTGATCACCTGCCTTAAAGCTCAGATATTTTGAATTACTCGAATTGTAGTCATAAAGTGCCTTAAACATTGTGTGAATGTTGTTCAGCAAGACATTCCGATTATGCAGAAAACAACGCCTTTGCACTTAGCCTGCAGACGATTTTGTTGTGCTTTTTTAGTGCAAAGCGTCTCGTCGATCAAGACAATGTAAGCGTTTCATTGACGTCGACTCGAAATACACTAATTTTGATAAAATGGAATCGAAAACGGATACATTTCCGTAGCTTAAGGCTATTTAGAGCGCGACGTTCACATTACATTGTTTAATTTTTGAAGCAATATCTCAAATAATGTATCTGCATTTACCGTGGAATACTCTCCTCCCTAACATTTACATTAAACAAATTTCATTTTTATTCTTGAATTATTTCCCCTTTATTTAAAATAAAATAGGCCCTAACTTGTTTGTACTCCATCCGGCCTTACAACAAATTTCGCCCAATCCCGCTTTTATTAAGCTTCATTGAAGGTTCAGGAAATAATAGGCAGGTGTCTCCTATTACATGCCGTATAAAAAGCGACTAATGTGCAAGGATGCAAATATATCAATACAGTGTGCCTCAAGCACACATACACCAAAGCACGCATACCTCATGGAGCAATCTAATTAAGAACAGCGGAATTCCAAGTCTAATCTTAATTAGATTGCGCATGGAGGCACGTTTTTTTTAATAATATTCGGTGTCAACATAACAACCTAAAAAAACAAAACCAATATGACACTAAATATCTTTAAACTTAACCCCTAACAACAATATATATTATTCTTTAAAAGAAGTGTAACGAGATGTTTTTCTCCGTGACCTTTACGTATTAAATATGTATCCAAAAAGAAAAGAGGAAACAACGAAGGACACCAACCAGCCACCGTTCTCTAGCTCTAAGTTTACAAATATCCATCACAACGGTAGTGTTTGTTACATTATCAATATGGCAATGTTGAAATAATAAATATAAAACAACCTTTGTCTTCACTGTATATTTGGGGTTCAACGTCATAAAGAAACAGGACAACGAATTCACTGATAAATGTCCCTCTCTACAGTAAGTATAGCACAGGCAGAGTCATACAGTGTTAACTGAAGGCTAAGTTACACGTGTTTTGGTTAAAAAATCAGTTTTACAAAATAAGACTTTGGAGTTCGTCTGTCAATACACCCATGATTAATGAGCGTATTGACAGACTAGCCCGAGTTTCCTCTGGCCCTAACACCAGACTTGGACATTCTGACAGATGTCTGATCTATATGTCAAAATGTCTGGTGGTAGGGCCAGAGGAAACTAGGGCTATTGTGGTTAGATGTGACTCCTTGCTCAGGAAATGTGAAATGTTATAAATACGAGTTACCTCCCATATGCTATTTACACAGCACCCGAGCTATCGCACAATTTCATAAAAACTGTATCGAAAGTTACATTTTGTGTCCCTTAGAACGAGCAAGCGCTGGTTACATCTTCATGCGATGTTAAAGTACCAGCAGATTGATTGATGATGCATTGGGAATTTTTAATTGCAATGATCGTTATTTACATTTTAAGACGTTTGGTTGTGTCACAGGGACTTGGGAATTCAACTGAGATTATAAATAACGGTTTTAGACCACAGATATGACTGAAAATGACAAACACAACCCAGAGGGATTTGGGAATTTGTTACAGCTATATTTGAACATAAACTGAGGTGTTCAGAGTAATTTTACATGTTGTAGGGGGTTTAGATTAGCTTTCGGTAAACATGACATACCTAATGATAATATATATGAGAAGGATGGAAAACTCTCGATGTCTGAAAATCGATCCCACCTTATTTTCTTGCATCAAAAACCACTTTTCTATTTGACGTGCAAAAAAACCCTTAGTATCGTTGGAAAAATTGATATTTTTTTCTTTTAGAAACCTCTAACATGCACGTAAAATGTATTCTCCTTCCGCGGACATGCATGATGCCGTTTCCTCCAAAAGCAATTTGCGAGTTTCAAAGTTTTTCGCAGCATGAGGCACGTTTTGCATATTCACGAGGTTGACGTCAGCCACGTGCTGAAAACCGTGGTGTGATTAACTAGAAGCGTAGTCATTCCCCCTAAAAGTTCATGGCGACACGTGACTGTGTCAATCTCATGAATATGCAAAAAGTATCTCTATGACTGCGAAAAACTTTGAAACTCGCAAATGGCGTAAAAATTGAAGCGATTGGTGTTGGTCCATAAGTTCATTAATCCTAAAAAACGTTCGTGAAGGATTTATAACACAGCAGAAAAAAATCCTAGATCTACATTTAGTTTACTTTAAACTGTACTTATCTCTTGTAATAAACAATTTATTATATTTACAATACATAACCAGCAACACTAGATCTACACTTAATAGGACCACAACCAAACAGGGGTCAATCAAATCCATTTTAAAAACCGTTTACGTCTAGAAAGCCTACTTTTTTGCGATGACTCCGCACGGGGAGATTTGATCTTGCAGCTCGCGAAAATGTATCCGTCGTTTACAAAAACATCAGGTATTTGTATGGTATAAGCTTGCATACGTCATATCTTGGCCAGATCCATATCTGCTCTGCACGTGATATAACTGTCATGCACCTTATCCGTTCTTCATCCGGTACAACTGATCCCAAATCAAGCATCCTCTGCTAAGGCTTGTTTGATGTGAACGTGTTACATTGTTCATATTTCTGCAGTTACGTTTGTCAGTGTGTAGCATTTGATTAAAAGGTTGTAATATGGTCATTTCCATAGCCTACCACGTGTCGACCTTCTACCATATCAACCCTCGGGCATACGACCCTCGGGCTGATAAAGGAGTTTGGGGTTGATATGGGTAATAAATAGAAATGGCTATATGATGGTTTCTAATTAGTATATGTCATGCGTTGTGACATTTATTTTCGAGTTGAAACTTGAATATTTACTATAACATTTGATGAAAAAGTTGCCAAAACAAGTGGATGCAATGTTCAGAGTGTATTCTAAATAGTTTCTATATCACGCTTAGAAATAGTCCATAATCTACAACAAAAGGCTAAAAGGTTGCGAACGTCGCGATGGCCTCCGTTTCCGAGATATTGCGATTTTTTTCTGAAAAGCACACTTTTGACTAAGCGGCGATCACCTCGATATGGGATGGCACATCTACACACGTCGATCGATCGATCTAGAGAGAGAGAGAAAGGGATTTCGGTTGATGTTTCCTTCACCGCTGGCCCTCAATACCGGAAGTTCAATACATTTCACTTTGTATTTCCTCATGGAGTTTCTAGGAAATTATTTATCTATCATGTACAGTCACTGATTGTCAACTATTATCGGATTTTTAAAATGTTTATCATAATTCAAGTGGCACTTTGGTTGTGTTCCGTTATTTACAATGACAACCTATCACTTGATGCCGGTTTCATAGGAACATAAATGCAAAACATGTGTATGACACTCGGGCAACTATGGACGAGCTATCCGGTCTGTGCTCCCTATCTCCGGCACACATACACGCATGCACAACACACATGGGGAAAGTAGTTGTCTAGTTTAACGCGTTCGAGTTCGAGTTTGATGTGTGAAACGATGTTTATTACGTTAACTGCGAACGCATTAGTTTCAAATTTTAAAATATGAACGACCTTAATAGACTATGATGGTGACATTCCACTTTATTTACTTGAAAGGGAATGAAAGGGAATAAAATTACACATTCTAGACATAAAAAATATAACATTGAATCAATTCATTTTATTTTATTTAATAATAATAAATTGCATAAAAATGACATGAAATATAAAATATAATATTTTCTCAGTAAAGATTCGCACCACTTGGTGACACGTCCAAGCCAAGCCTATGTCGTATGTCGTGTATAGAAAAAGCGACATGGCATCATAAATTAAATAGATCCAAAATTACATAAAAAGCACTATCAATCGAAAATAACTACAAAGGACACAGGGGCTCAGCACGATTTCTGTACAGTTTGACTATTAAGGTAAAGAGTGCCAAGAATGTTCCTATATAAATATCATTTTCACTATTGTGAAATATTTGTCAAGATGTTTAAAAGTAGCATTCCATAAAAATCATATGTTGCGACGCATTTTAAATAATCATAGTTGTTCGAAATTTGAATATTTCAAAACAGAAATAAAATAAAAATGTTTGGGGTCAAAATCGGGACCTTTCCATTGCAAAGACTACTTTTTACCTATGTTGTCACCTAGGAGTGCTGATAATTGCCCTGCTTTAAAATGTGTGTCCAATGCCTTTGAAAAAACAATAGACATTGAAAGATATACAACACTTGCCAGGGGAAATTATTCTTACTCCTTTTGATCGCTTCATTTTCTATTTAGAAGGAAAAATACTTGAAGTCCAAATAAATCTACTTGGAATTCTTAGCGGTGGTACGTACTTTCACCTAAACTCATTTACCCATGAAATTTCATAATGAACTATTCCAACCATCGAATTGGAAGAGTTCAAATGTGTTTTCATGGGTGAATGAGTTAAACCAATGCATCAACCAAAAAAGCTGAAATATAAGTTATTGCCGCATTAATCGTACCGACTCCCTGTGACGAAAACAAGTAGGGATTACACACGGTAGGACAGTCGAAATCAGCGTCCCTCCACGCAGGTGTACATGTATATATATATATATAACGCTCGTTAAACTGTACGTGTTGTCAACAGTCACAAAACAAAATAAACATGAAAGTCATTATTACGTTATAAAGAAACTGTGACGATCCAAAATTCACTCGACGCTATAATAGAACCCAAATATTTATATTTTATACACTGTATCTCAGAATTATCTAATATCTAAGTTACAGTATTCGAGGTATATTTTTTGCAATGAAAATAAAAGAAATAAATGAAAATAAATTATTTTTAATTTTTAATATATTTAAGGCGTATATTTAATGTAAAACAAATTGGGTCCCATAATAGCGTCCAGTACTATTATACAATCTAGATCAGTCAAGACTAGCTGTGATCTTGGACACAGGGACATGAGAACTAAGACACAGTAAAACTTGTTTACTATAAACAATACGAAATTATGCTTTAAATGTCATTGTATACCCATTGGCCTGAATCTATATCATGCATATCAACTTCCACAACTTAACCATAACAAACGGATTTCTTAGTCGCTGTGGGTTCGTTTGGAACTCTTTACTGTGGTGTTGGTATCAATTTCTGCATGTAGAACATTAGATAAGTATGTTAAAAGACATTCCTCTAATCGTAGAACCGTGCATAAATGATCAAATCCCTGTGTCTCGGCCACATCACTTGCTTTCCTAATATAGTCAGGATCACTAAACTAGGGGTTAGACTAACAGGAAAAGATGGAATCCCTTTGGGGAAAATAAACGGTATTCGTTTTTCCAACGAAATGAAATTAATAAATTCTTCAAAACACAAACTTGTGATGTCAATAATCTAATTTACAATACATCTCCCTCCCACCTTGAAGGAATATCATTCTCAACAATATAAGAAATAAACAAAACATTGTAACCGGGTATCACACGATCAATATCAACAAAACACTTGTTCCCTTACGACAAATGCGTGTCTGGTCAACTTTGTTACCAGAACAATTCACATATCAATACAATGACGTGGCAAGGATTCGGAATCTCTTGATCTTGTCCGGGTCAGATTTGTATACAGATGTCTGCCACGTGCAGGGTTTCATATTTCAACAGGACACGATATTATGCACATCTAATATTTTAAACCATCTCCAATAATGATTTACCCTAAAACCTGCTGTACATATCTGCAACCCATAAACGGAACGGAGTTGTACGTGAAATTACATCCTGCAAGTCACTGACCAGGACGTCTACATAAACAAAAAGAGAGAAAAAAGGCAACATGCACATCTAGGGACAGGTTTGTTATAAGACCACGGATTTCTGTCAAGACAAATGGTAAAACCACCGACTTAAATATAACACATAACTTGTTTAAATATGAAAGGGATGGATAGAGTCGGAGAACTGATGAAGAATAGCTGCAATGTTCGTGCCCATCTCTGAACCATTTGTTAACGGGTCTCTGGTCCCTTGTAAACGGGTATTTGACCCCATGTTAACTGGACCCTGTCCCTATGTTGACGAATCCCTGGCCCCTTGTTAACGAGTTCCTGACCCCTTGTTCACGAGTCATTGACCCCTTGTTGATGGGACCTTGACCCTTGTTCGCGAGTCCTTGACCCCTGGTAAACGTGTTACCGTTTGAGTCTAGCACCAGATCTTAATTTCCATAATTATCGGTCATTGTTCTGTAATGGTCATAACACACAAGCCGGCGTGGCAAGAGATTCTACATTTGAAAAGTTCGACGGAATCGCCATTGGAGACAGAGTCATGTGACTATTGGCAAATGAGGGAAACTGGAACGCTGAGTTGGCACCAATACGTGGACTCATTGTTGCTATAGGACTGAGCGAGCTCCAGAAGTGTAGGAATGGGGTACGTGGGCCCATCCCTACGGGACTGGCCAGGACTATTGGCGTGGGATAGCTCGTCTGTCCAATTTTGGGGCTGGGGATTGGAAGTCCCGTCATGGCACAGGTAAGGGATGTAGATGAACCATCAGTGATGCTGAGAGTGAGGGGGTTTGGCTTAGGTTTGGATATGACGACCGACGTACTCGCGGCAGATGACGACATCAATAACGATGATGCTGAATGAGGAGAGGGTGACGATGATGAAGGCGAAGGCGATACGTCACGCGATATGAAAGATGGCACCAAATGTTGTTTAACAGAACTGTAATACTCTGTGTCTTTTTCCTCTTTCACTGATGTTACCACTACTGTAACCGGGCTTGTAGTGGTGCTATCAGCTGATGCCACTTCCGTTTGTAATCGGCTAACACATGTGGCCTTGCTGACAGAAGTGGCCATGTTCGCGGACGATTTGATGTCGATCGAGTTATATGAGGCAAAGTGTGGCATTACTCTCTGACCGTATTCCTGAGCCAAGGTTTCCATTTTGACCTTGAATGGGATTTTGTTTTCCGTTTTCACAATTTCTGGAAAAGACACAAATTTGTAAACGAACTTCTGTCCCATCACCTTTTTGATGATGTTTTTGTCGTAGTAGTAGCGAAGAGCTCGGCTCAATTTGTCGTAGTTCATACTGTGCTTGTTTTTACGGAGGCCCCATAAACGAGCCACCTCTTCCGCGTTGAGCAGTTTGAATTCGCCGTCATTGTTGGTCCAGCGGATGATGTGGTTGTGTTGGTTACTGACTAGCAGCTCCAGCAGGAACTGCCATAGTGTTATGTTAGAGTCCATCGCTACAACAAACAAACATGGCGGTCAGATTAAACAAATAAACATAACAAACAGATATAGCGATAACATATATAGTATATATATATATATATTACTGACAACTTTCTCGACTACATTACGTAGGCCTACTACCACACAGGGGTCGTGGGTTTAATACCCGGTAGAAGCGTACTCTCTTTGCTGTTACAAATGGTTGCCGTGGCCCTTCCTGTGGTGACAGAGAGTTAGAACCTGGATCGTGATGGTGTTCGAGAACAGATTTAAAATGGGTGAGTAGTGTAGCTCACCATCTAGCTTCGCGCTAGAGGGAACTTCCCTTCAGCTCAGTGGTATAGCGTCGTACTAGGAAGTTTGGGGTCGCAGGTTTGATCCCCGGTGGAAGCACACTATTCTCTTTCCTGTTACACATGTAACATATGATATGTAACACAGTATGTTTTTTTCACACACATAATTGTCATGCCTATATAACAGACGGAAGTATTTACACCCATGATTTTCGTGTGAACATAGCATATGGTATTCACACACATAACTGTCCTGTCTACATAACATACAGTATTCACACACAGAACTGTCCTGCCTACATAACATACGGTATTCACACACAGAAATGTCCTGTCTACATAACATACGGTATTCACACACACGACTTTCATCTTCACAAAATACAACAAACTGCATTCATACACAGGACCTTCATCCTTACATAATACAACTAAGTATTAACACACAGAATTGTCCTGTCTACATACAGTATTAACACACAGAATTGTCCTGTCTACATACAGTATTCACACACAGAATTGTCCTGTCTACATACAGTATTCACACAAGACTACAGTCATTATAGAATGAACACATCTAAACAGTCACTTCAGTCGGTGGGACATCATAAACGCTGATGCCCTGACAACAACTGTAGCTGCTTGACGTCAATAGCACCACGGCTGACATCCGGGCAGTCACAGTAGTACAGTGTAGCGTCACAAACACAACAGCTTACACCCAAGATTAATTGTTAATAGATCGAAAATATCTTCATTAAAAAAAGCTGTACGAAAATGGGGTCAAACACACATCAGTTGACAGTAACTGTAGTCGGTAAGACATCAAACACACATCAGTTGACAGTAGCTGTAGTTGGTAAGACGTCAAACACACATCAGTTGATAGTAACTGTAGTCGGTAAGACGTAAAACACACATCAGTTGATAGTAACTGTAGTCGGTAAGACATCAAACACACATCAGTTGACAGTAGCTGTAGTTGGTAAGACGTCAAACACACATCAGTTGATAGTAACTTTAGTTGGTAAGACCTCAACCACACATCAGTTGACAGTAACTGTAGTTGGTAAGACGTCAAACACACATCAGTTGACAGAAACTGTAGTTGGTAAGACGTCAACCACAAATCAGTTGACAGTAACTGTAGTTGGTAAGACATCAACCACACATCAGTTGACAGTAACTGTAGTTGGTAAGACGTCAACCACACATCAGTTGGCAGTAAGTTACTGTAGTTAGTAAGACGTCAAACACACATCGGTTGACAGTAACTGTAGTTAGTAAGACGTCAAACACACATCAGTTGACAGCAACTGTAGTTGGTAAGACGTTAAACACACATCAGTTGACACTAACTGTAGTTAGTAAGACGTCAAACACACATCAGTTGACAGTAACTGTAGTTGGTAAGACGTCAACCACACATCAGTTGACAGTAAGTTACTGTAGTTAGTAAGACGTCAAACACACATCGGTTGACAGTAACTGTAGTTAGTAAGACGTCAAACACAACAGTTGACAGTAACTAGTTGGTAAGACGTCAAACACAACAACTGACAGCTGCTGTAGAACCAGCAGTCGACACCCAAAGAATTTGAAAGAACGCAAAAGACACAATATCTGACACTAGGACACAACAGACACCATATCGAACATTCTAGCAATTACAATTGCTGGTTGTACGCGATACAAAGTCACAAACAACTAACGCCCTCAATTTGACGGCGGGTTGCTGGCTGTACCACTCTTTGTGTAGATAAATGTGGTAACGATTAACGTGCGGCCGATGTCTCTGTTTCCGTGTCGCTGTGTGGTCTACTTTGTATGTAAACAAGTCAAGCATCTTTGACTGTCACAGAAGTTTTGTTTCAAATACAACTTAATTAAAAACAGTCAATCTGGCCAAAAAAAAAACCGACAAGTAAGACATACTACGATAATTGACCGATGGGAGAAGGAAAGTGGCAGCACATTTTTTACGCTCGACAGCAAATGGCGTCATATTTTCATATGCAAGAGTGGCTTATATGCGCTCTGCCAAAATAAAACATACATTTGGTTTGCTGTTTAGTTTCTAATGGACGCTATAAGTCATCTGAAAGTATTAGCATTAAAACATCATTGTTATGTGTTTCACATTTTTGACAGTTTATAATAGTCTAGGTGATCTGCTAGAAATAATTTTGAAAATGGGAGAATTTATCGCATTATCGAATATATGCTCTTCTTACCTTGCCTCGTATGTTGAATGTTTAGAGTAACTTTAAAATACTTACCGTATCATACTTAGATAAATCCAACAACAAATTTGATCATCACCCACATACACACTATTTACAATATATATATTATCGCAGTCCCGAAAGCCGGAGAGGCCTGCGTTCCGTGACATACGCTGCTGGTGAGGTAATATTATATCACAAAGACGCACGCTGGACCCGCTCTACACTCAGACTCCCATGTCGTCTGCCACTATTTAAACACCTACCCTTTGATATGGGCGCCGACAGGCACAGTCGTTTGGTCAAAGGTTCAGTAGAATCCGAGGAGTTACGAGAAGACACATCGGACAAGGCGGGGGATGCTGAACAGTGTCTCACATCTGCAATGAAAAAATATCCCAACATCAACAGTGAATAAAATCTAACGCGTTTGCCGACTCGACAAGTCACAGATTTGGGACATTCTTGAAATTCTAATGAAAAAGTGGAGTAGTAAGGATCCGGAGCCAGACGTTTGGGGCTAAAGTTACAGGGGTCCACTGTTAGATGTTTGTCTTATCGACAGATCTACTTCGACACATAAGAGAGGCCGGCCACAGGGAAACCAAAACAGCTAGCAGACGCAACGCTTCTCTTTGTGTGATAAGCACTTTAAAACCCTGTACAGTGTTAGAAGCACGAAAGCAAATATTTGGAAAATTTTATACGGAATTTCGTACGTAACGAAATGCAAAATCGGAATGCTGAGGTTTTTTCTGAGAGAGATTAACACATATAAATACAATTTAGTGATACATCATTTGCACATAACAAAATATATCTCAATACTATTTTGTATATAAACCAATGAAAGTTGTTCTAAATTCTGAACGTTTACCCTTACTAAGATAAGGCCACAGTGACGCAGACTTATCAGAGCGAGACCAGTGCACGGTAAACATTCTATAACACCACATTTCCACACTTCTCTTAAAGTAATACAAATAACTTATAAAGCGTTTCTGATATATTGGGAACGATTTTAATTGATAGAATTGGGTTCTAAATGCCATGGATATTTTATAAGTATTAATGATGAAACGCTTAGAGCAGAACATTTTACAAGATTATCCTTAAAGAATTGAAGCCTATTGATAAATTAATGTTAGTGATAATTGTAAGTTGATATGTTATGTAGAAACGTTGCTTTAATTCGGCCATGACATGTCAGACCCGTAAACACTATAACTTATACCGAAAATCAGTGAAGTTGTTTGTAGTCGACATATTCTGCTAAGACTTTTTTGTTTAGAAACTCATAAATGAAAACTTGTTTTTGTTTTGTTTTTTAAGAAATGAAGACTTTCCGAAATCATCTGTCTAACTGGCTGTTTTCATTATTGTTTCGTGTAATTTCATATGCATTTTTTTTAAGCGGACAATATTTGTTTTTCGCAAAGGTCTACCGAAATAAGCAATATTTACACACAATTAGTATGACAATCTGTTCTCAGGTCTTACACCAGTTACCTCCGATGTTGGGAGTCGAGCCAACGCAATCAAACGCTCTTCAACTCCCGACCGACCGGGGCCGGTTTATACGATGATCAGAGAAAACGTCCCTTAAGAACACCTTTGGTAACTTAGTTCTCATATTTAGTGAGTTGCCATTTACGAACAAAAGCCAATATTTACCATTATTTCCCCGAAAAAATGCCGATCAAAGATGGTGGCTTGCTTACCTTCCATTATATGTAATTGCCGACAGAAGTTAAACCTTGGTTGTTTTGGAGGTCGTCGTTCGCTCTGTGGAGGAAACAAATGAGTTAAGTTGTGACACTCAGCACAGTTATACAGGGAAGTGATCATTGGAGGAAGTAACTATTGTTAGTACTTCACCCAAACAAGGAAATATTGTATATGACAAGTAGTCATACAGCAGGGGTTTCCCCCACAAGTATACAAACACGTAAGAGAAGTAGCTTTGATCACGCTTGTGGCGGATTTCCTTTTTGCCATCAGTGCCACCCTCACCTCCACTCCAGTCCCCTGGGTTTTTTGTCCCCCAGGGGATCTGACATGGTACAGGTGACATCAGGGGTCGGCTACGGAGCCTCTCGGGCGATTAAGATCTGACCCCCTTTCGATGGATCACGTAGGGCCTGTCTGGTCCTGATGAGATGTCCGGGACGGAGTAATGATAAAATAAACATAAATTGTATGAACTCGTACTGTAGTATCATGGGGACTCAACAAACACCCGACCTGCTTACTTGTTTTTAACACTATGTACTTTTAAAAATTGCCTTACAAGGAAGGAACTCCAACCTTACTCCATACCTGGCATGTTTTTCGGGGGTTGGAACCCCCACCCCACCCACTCTCACTTTCGACCTTTACCGATTGGTCTCTAGATCCGCGACTGTGTTACCAACCCCATCCCTTGAACATTTGACATCCCTTCCCCCCGAATCCATCTACAAATGATCTATTACTACAGCAATGCTGAAAACACAACTGGAATCCTTTACATAAATGCTAGTTCTGATTTACAAAATATTACCCAGTTATACAGACAACCAAGAAACTAAACAAACGTCCACTGAAAAACAAGAATGCAATGTCATATCCACGCTTATCCAAAAACCATAATAAAGCCGATATAACAGGGTATCAATTTACAACATCACGCTATAGGCCTAAAAGCCGTTATTACACGAGGTATGGCGGTAATATAAACGGTAAATAAAACCTTCACACTCCAAGGCCCACGATGAATCTCTCTATCGCCAGGAATGTCGTTTAAGTCCCCATTTTACAATTATGACCGGAAACTCGTACTGAGATAATGGCCGAGAACGGCGACCCCCTGGGCTCCATTTCAAAAAGATGGGTCAAAGAGTGCAAACTAAAAAACGCCAACTAAAAAAACCTGTCAATTCCGGAAAGTTTAGAGGCGTGACTTTCACAAAAAGACGAAAAGAAAACGGTATTACAGACCACGGAAATCCTTTTGTAAAACCTCAAACCACAAAAACTTAGACATTCCAGTCAAAACAATGTGCATCTAATCGTTATATCAAATTAGTATATCAGGTGCTGAATGTGAACAAATATCGGTTAATGTTGTGTATAAAAGTTGACCATATACGATGTATTGCGTTTAACTGTTATACATACATGATATTGGTAGGTCTCTGATTCAGTACAATGCACTGAAACGGTTTAAGATAACAATGCCGAAAGTATTACACAGCACATATACTAAAACATTGCTCATTGTTTTTTGGGGTGTTTTTTGGAGGAATTGAAATCATGTTAGGGATACGACGCCTCCATTTCCATCACAACAAATATAGATTTTTATTATATTCTCGATCCCCTGTGTAACGTTGACATTTGATTCCGTGCTTGTTCTGACGTGTGACGAGGACACCGCCCCCGCCTCCCACACACACACTTGTCAGATCCAGGTAATTATCAATCCGTTATGGTACTGTACATTACAACAACAGACACGCATTGTCATTTAAACAATATCAACGCACACTACACACTGATACTGATGTCCTCCTCTCCGTCACAAGGTCAGGGTACTAGGTATATTTAGGTGTTTTCACTTTAATTTAGCTCATTTGACCCCCCCCCCCCCCCCAAAAAAAAAAGGGAGGACACAGTTGATCCCCCTCTCCAACCCCCAAACATTAAATGAATGCCAATATATTGCCGATGAATTGATAAATCTATAAATGACAGTTTCTTTTTCTGGTTTCTTTAATTAAATGGATTAGATGACAATACGAATGAAATAGGTTTATTGTTTTCAAAGATTACAAGAGTGTAACAAAAAATAGATGGTACATACACAAATAGCCGATACAAATGGTTAATTATTGACAAAGTCCACATCCCTTGTCCTTCCATAATGAATTAAGCCTATTGTTATTAACTAAAGATTGAAAATGATAAAATACATCATACAATATTCAATCATAATCGACACCCAAACTGGTACTTCTAACCAATAGAGTTCTCGATCACAACATCATGACATGCTTGTGAAAGGAATGATGAAAATAAACACAACAATGTAGATAAGTGTCTTATCATTGTATTGTGTGATCGTGTCAGTGGTATACGAGTTAACACACATGTCACTTTCACGTGTAGACCAGACCAAGAGGTCGCGATCGGTACAACATGGATCGGTACAACATGGAGACGATAGACACGGCATGTGTACGTACATATACCAATAAAATGTCTACACTTCACCAACCTGCTGTCGTGTCGGTTCCTCTCGCGACTGTTGACTGCTGGTATTGAGGATATATCTCCGCTCTTGACAATAATCAACTTTTCTATAATTATCAAAAAGAAGTGTTAATCCGAATCATTCCGTCTAAACATTGACTCGCTACCTTTGGTTGTGGAATGACTCATCATGTGACCCGGAAGTTACTGTTTACATTGGGGAACTCCCATATTGAAACGTCACGACCATTGACGTCATTTTCACATAAATTATCCTTATATGGAAGGTTAAAATCCGCTTTCCTTAGGTTTGACCTCATGAGTCGTTCAAATTCAACCAATGAAACTCACCGTGACGTCATCTTACCCAACCTAAACTATTTATATGCCTTAGCGAACTAAAAACTGAACTTTTCCCGGTAAAGCCGCCGGAACGTGACTGAGAAGAACTATCAGTTTCCTCATTGTGATATACAAAGTTTAAGTGCTGTCTACAAAGCATTTGAAGTGGAAAGTTTATTTGTTAATGAATTATGTAACTATTATTTATTATTCCCTCCCCTGTAGATTTTCCATACATGTTTTTTCAGAGAATTGTATTTTTATATTTTTAGATATTTAATACACGATAGACATCTGATAATGAATAATACGTTTTGTTTGGAAATTTAACTTTTATAAGATAAAATTAATCCTATTTTACACTATCAGATCTGATAATAGATAAAATGAGCTGATTTTGAAATTTTCAAGTTAACCACAAATTTTGAAACTACAAAATTAAAATCTAAATGTCGTCATATTTCAATGACTGAACCATTAGTGAGTTTACTATATAAACATTACAATGCACATAATCAAGTTTATCTTGATTGATATCACGCACGGTATGAAATATTTTACAAAATTAATAAAAAAAATATGATGACATTCCTAACATTATTGCTAGGCCTAGTGCTCACATTATTTCACAGAAATTAAATATGCAATGTTCTATAAATCTGCAATGTTCAATTTTTGAAGCTAGGATATATCAAATATATATATATCAAAACGTGAAATTATATTCATTCTATTATATTCATTAGTTGCATCATTTACAAACTTAAATATATAAAGGTGAAATAAATATGATCGGGATTGCTATGTCAAACTTCATGCTGGCACTAACCTATTATTTGCACAATGTCTACTATACTGTTTGATCGATCGATAAATCAATCAATCAATCAATCAATAAGATATTAATTAACTAGAATACTAAAAAAAAACTTTTAAGACAGAACGGCAATATTCGGACGACTTAGAAGATAAAGCATGATAACATAAGTTATAACCAAACAAGATCACTGTGGAATTTGGAATTCTTATGATAAATAGGAAATCTATAATAAAAAATATCATTCAGAAAATACCAATGCCTGGGTGTCATGAATCTAATTATAGCAATACACGTAATCACGTGGGCGTCATGTTCTAACAGTTATATTTATAGATATATGACACCAGGCGATATCTTTAGTAGGGAATCTTGAACAGGTCACCAACAACACGTCCTATTGTGGCGACTTGCCCAGCCTTGTATCTGGACATTCCACAAGTGTGGACTGCGGCTTAAACCTTCCCATCATGTTTTTCTAGTTTGAAACATATTTTTGTTTGATTTGATGAACGTTTGCACACATGTAAAAGTGTTTGTATCAATATCCATTTTTTTGCGCTGTTCTCAAACAATATTACTTCTGAGTTAAACTCGATATTCTACTTTATCAACTTTTTACACTTTTCATTTGTAAAATGTTGCCACCCTAAATGTCTACGAATTTTGGAATTCTATGACATATGATGGACATATATACAGTTATGATGAAATCACTCGTTTAAATGACATCAGGATTCGGATGTTAATATACAGACTGAGTAATATGTTGTAGTTGCCATGTCTATATGGGGTTACTGTACGTGCTTGGCAAATTTAGTCATATTTCATTATTTCCTATAACAAACTATAGAGTTCACAAACTCTAGTATGAGTGAGTTACAAGTCACTCACCAAGAAGTGGTAGATATTACCAAAATTTGGAAAATAAACGAAGCTTCTGGTCCAGAGCGATGTTAAAACTTGTTGTAAATGAGATTGCTGTACCTCTTTCGTTTTTATCTAATGAATCCCTAAGTATGTGTAAATTTCCTGCTTCTTGGAAACTTGCTCATGGTATACCACTTTGCAAGACTACAGGCCATTTTCGTTATTGAGCTGTGTAGGAAAGGTTTTTGAACGTATCGTATATAAGCATGTGTACAATTACTTTTTTGAACATATCTTGTTGTATAAATCACAGTCGTCTGGATTTCTTCCAAACCATTACACTACTCATCAACTAAAAGAGGTTTACCATAAAGTTATAACCGCGCTTGTAAACAAACAACACAAAGAACACTCGAAGGCTTTCGATCGGGTTTGACACAGAGGTCGAATTTTGAAACTTGAAAAATATGGAATCACGGGAAATTTGTTGAAATGGTTTGAACACTTTCCCTCTGAAAATGTACATCTTCTGAAAGAGTTCTCAAAGCTGGAGTCCCACAGGGTTCAGTCTTAGGGCCACTTTTATTTCTCATATATATAAATATCACAGATACTTTGTTATCAGTTGAGCGACTATTCGCTGACGATACTGCATTATCACATTCATCGGGGAATTTGGCCGATTTGGTGCAAGTAATAAGATTAAGAAGAACTAAAACATTGGTCTCATTAATAATTAATGGCTTTTAATCCACGAAAAACTGAATCATTAATATAAGTTAATATTAGTGGGGATGCTAAATGGAGTATTCATATTAATAGCATTATAAATAAGACTTAGAAGTATTTATCAACACTTATAAAATCCAAATATACTTTAAGTAGAAAGAATCTAGAGAAATAATACTTAGTGTATGTTCGGCCTCTTTTAGAATATGCTTGTGAGGTTTGGGATCATTGTAACGAAAGAGACACAGAAGCTATTGAAAACATCCAGTATGAAGCCGCCAGAACTAGTACAGGTTTGCTAGTTTTTACAAGTAAATTTCGACTATATCAAGAATTAAACTGGCAATCCTTAAAAGAATGTAGATTGTTCAGAAAACTCAGTCTTTTTTATAAGATTCAGTCAGGAAATTCACCAAACTATCTTGTGTCTCTTCTTCCTCCGAAAGTGTCTGACCTGTCTGTTTATGATCTTAAAAATAAAGATGAATATCAAATTCCCCACCATAGTCTTAGTCTAACTATGTCTTCTTTTATACCTAATACAAACCAAATAAAGTACCCCTATGTCACACAGTTTTTAAAGAGTATGGAGAACGGAACGTGAACATTTTACATTGTCGTATACGTAATAACGTTAGTAATTTTAATTATGATTTATTCCGTGTCAATCTAATTGACAGCCATCCTGTAGATGTGGACATACTATGGAGGACGCTAAACATTTTATTTTTATTTTCAAATGTATAATGTACAAAGAAATACAATGCTTCAACATTTAATATGGTATACCAATATTACATAAGAAAGGCTTTTGTTTGGTGATATTTTGTAAGATATAAAATTAAACGAAGTTATTTGTAAGCATGTTCAAAAATTTATTGTTGATAGTAAACGATTTGCGTAAATACAGGTCAATATATAGTGTTATCTATACCTAGCTGTTGACTCCTACACTGTCATACTCAACTCATCTATCAGTAAAACAAATATCTTTTTCTTTCTTCTGATATCTGACTCTTTTTCTATTGTCCTATTTTTCTGCTTTTCTTATACTATGTGAAATCTACCATGCGCTAATTATTATTAGGCCATTGCTAAGCTTTGCATATGTGTACTTGTATTATGGAGAGGACATTGATAAGGTGTGGTAACTTGTGTCCATTCCTTTTACAATAAAATTTATTTAAATTGAAAAATTTCCTGTAGCAAGCTTTATGGAATTTTAAGCATATTTATGTCGGCGATGACGGTTCAGACTAGTATCCGCTAAATCATTTTTATTTATATTTCCGTTTTACAGTCTCTAAATAAACCTACGAACTCACGGAGGCTGTCTGGGTCTTTTCACCACACTATTAGTGTAATAGGGGTCGTGATGTCAAATTCAAACTTTGGTGGAAATTTCCAAATGGTTTTCAATCGATGTTTCTCAAATATAAAAAGAAATCTTTTGCAAAAACTACGGTTTGTCTAAAAATAATGGCTTCGTTGATCTCCACTGAAAAAGTTTTTGTTTGTTTTGTGATACGGTAATGTAACATAAACTGCTGTTATGTTCCCTACAGGTCTCTCATTCTAACGACGTCGATAACACAGGGACCTGAGAATTTGTTATAGCTATATTTGGACCTAAACCGATGTGTTCAGAATAGTTTTCGTATATACCTAAAATAGATCGAAACCCCGAAAACGTGTAAAGTTACTCTAAACACTTCGGTAGGGTCGAAATACAGCTGTCACAGATTAGCACGTCCCTTTGGTAAATACTAGTAGTAACAGCGGTTCACTGACTGTATATGATATTTATCTGGTTTGTGCTGGCTGTACTGATCTGGCGAGGCCTCACCCGCCAGATTAATATCCTTGTAAGTCGTTATAAATATACATGTACCATATCATTGTCACAACAGGCGACATTGTTTAACAGCTGCAACAAAACGTTAAGAATGGGGGCAAACTCTAAACTTGCACGTGACCTCATATTCAGACAGCCCTACTGACCTGATATGAAAATAAATGCATCAACACGTGTGATCATCTTTACAATTCAATGTTTCCGCTTTCGATATACACATCATATCTGAGAGCATAATCGTATGAAAAGCAAGCTAGAAGCGAGGTAACTCTAACTCGCTACGAGAGAGTAACAGTGCACGCCATTGTAAGTTCTACGCCTCATAACATATACTATTCTTATGTATGGAAGTCGTCTTTTCCATGTCCCATTTTATCTACTAAGTCTCAGATTTGGTATGAAGATATATTACAGCACGTGAAAAACATTCCTGACGCAACATGTCACAAACAAATCCAATTGGTTTCGTCGTTCAGTTTTGTCTTCTCTTGAAAATTTGTCTAAGCTGTTTTCTAATTACCAAAAGTGTCTTTACCTTGGGTTTACCTTGGGTTTATCTTGTCTTTACCTTGGGTTTACCTTGTCTTTACCTTG